CAGAATATGGGGTGGTTCCAGAATGAGGCAACTTTGAAGCGAAATTTGAACTAGGTGTAATACATTGCTTCGTACGTGTCGAGTAAAGATGACTTTACCTTACAAGTCTGCAGCTAGCATCAGAATATGGGACGGTTCCAGAATGAGGCAACTTTGAAGCGAAGTTTGAACTTGAGTACAATCGGCTTTATTTCAAATGCTTTAATTAACAATTGTCCACTTGTTAATATTTAATGTTTGAGTTTTCTGTTGAATTCTTGATCAGTTTAATAACAATCTGCAGATGAATAACATATATTACAATTGGTTTTTGAAAACTTTTCATTAAACATTAACGAAAAAAAAAAAACAATCATGAAATAGTGTTAATAGAAAATTGAAAAGTTTTAAATTGAAATATTTGCGAACTAAGAATGAATCTACAGAATTGTTTGCTTCTTTCCGTGCAGAACCATCCTTGCTTGTGCCCTGGCTTCTGTTATTTGAACTTTCTAATACTTTTTTATAAGATAACTGCTATAAATCTCGCGTTCTGATTGGTTGGTAGCAGGTGCTTTATTGGAGCACACATCACTTTCCACTTTCAGTTTATTTTATTTTATTTAGCATTGCAATTTAAACACCCACCCACCCACACACACACACACACACACACACACACACACACACACACACAAACAAACAAACACCCACCCACCCACGCACACACACACACACACACACCTCGTTCCCAGGGCCTTATCTTCTGGCTTTTTTTTCAATCCATGAATCTTTGCGGTACAAGGATCAAAACAAGATGGCGTCCATACTGGACCAGTACGAACAGGCTGCTACTGGTGGGGCAGACAGCCTTAACCCTTTCCTAGCATCCGATGATATCGAACCAGTGAGTGTAACATCAAATTTAGACTTTTATTTTCCCTATGCCTTAGTTTTTGACTAGAAAATCATTCAGAAGCCTATGATTTGTGAATGTCAAACGTAGTGGAATGTTCTGGTTATCTGTTTCACCTTTTCGTGATTCGCTTGTTGTTTTGATATCATAATTTTTTACAGATATTTATCATCTTTCTTTTATAGGTTTCGAGTGGATTTATAGAGATGCAGAGTGATGACATTCCTATTTTTAGGCGTCAAAAGATAAATTTTAGGTACAGGAAATGTAGATATAATGTTATGTCAGGGTTCGATGTGTAAGTTAGCCATGCCCTGACTTAGATCAGCCCAGAGGTTGTTTCAAGGTTCGATATGTGAGTTAGGTATACCCTGACCTAGATCAGCCCAGAGGTTGTTTCAGGGTTCGATATGTGAATTAGGTATACCCTGACCTAGATCAGCACAGAGGTTGTTTCTGGGTTCAATCTGTGAGTTACCCGGGGTCCTGACATAGATCAGCCCAGAAGCTATTTCAAAGTTTCGTTCATATCTAAACTTTCGAGGTAATAAATTGTTTCTATTCGTTATTTGTAGACCACCAAGTAATATTGCTGATTTAGTTGTGTGCAATAACACAGTTGTGGTTGCACTCAGTACCAACTTCATCATGCGAATAGACCTGGCAAACACAAATGAAATTGACAGTAAGTACCATGCCTTTTATAACACCAGCAAATAATGCTGCACACCAGTGCCTTGTCATTCTCATTGCACTTGCTTGACAAAATGCAAGAGGCTCTGGGAAACCCTAGAATTTCAAGAGCTGTGATTAGTTAGAATATTGCAAATAAAATTGCAACCTGGAAAAAAAGGATAAGAATTGCCTTGAAAGTTGATAAAGTGGCAATGTAGCTGTTAAAAAATAAAAACAGCTTTTTTTGGAAGTAAATTAAAAAACTGTTAAAGTAGGGAGTTTGTGCTCTTGTTATAGTTCAAATAATTTGAACTAAATGCACATGCACATTTAATATCAGGTTGCCACATTAGACATTTCTGGCTACCATGCACTTGGGTTTCCGAGAGTGTCTGGCATTTCGTCAAGCATGCACAGTTAGAATGACAGGACTCTGGGGTCGAGAGTAATGATACTGTAGACCTGTTTAGGGCTGGCTCTAAAGTCCTTAAAATATCTGCAAGTGATTAGAGACCTTCACAATGGCTCGGATAACCACTATATATAGAACTTGGTAATAAGAGACGTCAAATGCAGAGGGCCAGCCCGGGAGGGTACTCTTGCCCATTTAGGGTAGGGATGTGCCGCTGAGCCCACTGAACCCTGACCCTATAAAATCGCTAAAATTCATACCCTGTTCCAGAGCAAGATCGCTGAAAATCAAACCCTGTTCCGGTATTGCGAAAATGGATACCCTGTTCCAGAGAGGAGAGAGCATGATTTCATAAACCCTGTCCCAGAGCGAGCATGATTTTATATACCCTGTTCCAGAGAAGAATCGCTTAAAACCATACCCTGTTTGGCGGCACGTACCCGTATAGCAAATATAGGGGAGTAACCTCCGGGAGGGCCAAAGGTTTATCAATTGCGACTGTCAAGTGTCACCCTGTCATCATCAAAAACTATGATAACGAGGTCCTAAATAACACAGGCAACCCAATAGAAACTTTTTTGAAACCTTAAAACTTTTGAAATTGAGTTTTTTATTGGTGTTGCTGTGTTTCAGCTGTTGAATTGAGTAGAAGGATGGATGATACTATTTATAAGATCTTCTTGGACCCAAGTGCAAGACATCTGATAATTTGTATGAATTCCCAAGAGTCTTATTATCTTGCAAGGAACTCAAAGAAACCAAAACTCCTGACAAAACTGAGGGTAAGTGTGTTTTCATTCATTCATTTCTTTCATTCTTTTCATAAGAAAATTGCAGCCAAGGTTAAGAAAGCTGAYAACGATCCTTTAAAAATATTAATGCCTATTGCCCAAATTAGTTCATATAGTTTAAGAAGGTCTAGTACCACTATGCCTGCGGTTAACACTGAATGTTTTAAGAATAGTTTTTCTAACAGATTAATTTATAAATATTAGTATTTTTGGTCCTTTTATGTTTTAGTCTCTTAGCGCACCACTTGATTGTATTTTATCAATGTGAATAAAGACTTATTATTATTATTATTATTATTATTATTATTCCTAAATTCATTCTTCCATCCACTTCATTCATCTGTCCTTCTTTCTCATTTATCCCACTATCCATCCATTCATTGATCCTTCTATTCATCCACTTCATCCATCCTTTCATTCACCCCTCCACCTATCTAATAAGAGGAAATTTTTTTCAATAATGAGCAATAATGGCAAAAAGCGCCAAAAACTAGACTTTCGTATGAGTTTTGATCCCAATTTTTGTTTTGAGTTAACACTCAAAACCTTTTTTAAACAGTTAGAACCTGATGTATTATGATAAAATGACTGTTTGAAGCGTTATTTTTAATTGTACAAAGATGTTTTGTGGCATTTGTGTTAGAATGTTGCTTTGTCAGGATTTTTTATAAAAAATATATGGGAAACAAGCAAATGAAGGTCTAAATCTCATTTTCGAATAAAATTTTTGCTTTGTGTTAACACTTTGATTCCACTTTCATTGGTCATCTCCACTTCCAAACAAGTTAAACTTTCTGAATAATAAGATTTTAGCCTTGTACAACAGCCTTTCTTCAAGAGAATAGTTTTTGGCACTCACTGCTTGAATACAAAAAAAATTCTCTCTTAATTTATTGATCCATTCCTTCCTGTGATATTATATGATCCTCCAAGGATCCTAACTAAAATGCATCCCTTTTTTGTGCACAGGGTCATCTAATTAGTGCTGTTGCTTGGAACAAGTCAAAGCTAACTGAAACATCAACCCAAACTATATTATTAGGGACAACCAAAGGTAAGACTCTTTGTAAAGTGGGATCCCTGTGTCCCAAATGACACAGGCAACCCAAACAAAATTTTGAAAAATTCTATACTCTTGCAATAGACCTCTTCGGCTTGAGGTAATGTTTTCCCATTTAAGACCACGTATCATTCCCTTGAGAATAAGATTCTTTGTTTGAGTTGTATCCATATTCATGTGTCTTCTCATGTGCAACCGAGCGCAAACCTTAAACAAAGAAATGATACTCTAGGGAATGACACGTGGTCTGAAATGGGAAATCATTATGTTAGAGCCAAAGAGGTCTATTATGTCATCTTAAACTTACTAATCTAATATTTATGCATCTTTTATAGGTTTGTTATTTGAAACAGAAATTGAACCAGAAGAAAAGTTCTTCCAAGGAGGGATCGAAAGGTTTTTGAAACAAGTAAGGAAAAATAATGACTAAAAATTGCAAAAACAATTTGAAACTCAATATCAAAAAGTTTTGTTTTTATCACTAGTTATATGACGTCAATGCCAGTGGTGAAAAAGAAGAGCCTACATGTGGTGTAATGTTTGAGAAACTTTCCAGTCAAGACCGCAAGTATATCATTATGGTAGCAACATTAAGGTAATAGTGTAAAATTGTTGTTGCCATGGAGATTATGGTATAAAATTGTAATAGACCTGATTCTGGAGGGGAGTAAATAAATACAGTTATTAAAAAAAATTTGATGACTGAACTGACTTGACATTGTAGCCTTGACCCAGGTCTCTGCACCATATTTCATTTCAGTATGTGATCTCCTTTAAGTAGTAATTAGGGGCGAGGTCAAAACATTTGTGCAAAATAGGGACCCGATTTTATGAAAGGTGGTGGGTTTCTGGTTCATACCCCCTCCCCCTTCAGAAATGCTTGATAATGGGGGTATGTAGTGGCAATTTCTATACACAAATATGTTTTTTAGCATACATGCAGAAAGACAGTCCATTCATTTCTGTGATTTGGCTTTTAGTTTTGGAGATATTTGCAGACAAAATCTAAGATTTCACTTCTAGAGGTGGTGGGTATGGGGTAACACCACCCCTCCCCCCAAAATCAGGTCCCAAGAGATTACTATTGTTTTGCCCTCATCCCTTAGCAATTATGATACCCAATGTCCAATGGTTTTGATTCAACGAGCAATAGCCTAATGCTTTGTGATTGGTTTAATTTCAGCCGCCTTTACCAGTTTATAGGAGATGTGTCTAATGGAGAAACTGTAGACTTTCTTCCAATGTTTACAGAGTATGAAAATGCTCCTGGTAGGCAACGTTTATAACAATACTCCATCATTAATTGCTATCTAGGAAAATATAAATTTATAATCTATCATCATGTTCCACCCCAAAATGTTCACAGTCAAAATGGCTCAAACTAACCCCACTAGGTTTTATTATTCGAATATTGAAATTTATTATTCTTTCAAAGATTACGAAGGCTCAGAATTCAAAATAATAACCGATTCAAAACTCGAATTCTGATTGGATTGTTCTTTATAAGGAACACTATATTCCAATCAGAATTAGAATTTTGAATCAGTTATTACCCAGAGTCTTCGTTTTCTCAGAGAAAATAATGAATTTCAATATTCAAATCATGAAACCATTAATGGGACCTAGGGGGGTAAGCTTGAGCCGTTTTGACTGTAA